TTTCTAAGGAATTATATTATTTGAGTTTGAGTTCTCCCTTGAATCTATCATATTTTAGTTAATACATTTGTAGATACTTGCATACAACCCAACATTGTTTACTTATAGGTTTATAGATTAACTTTAACTTTCACATATGTGGGAAAACATGCTACTTTTCTCTCTCTAGGCTTGACTTACATAATTTTTCCAAGTCTTTCCATTTCTTTACAATGTTACAATATCATTGTTTTTAATGGATGAGTAAAAGTCCACTGTGTATATAAAACCACATTTTCTTGATCCATTTGTTCATTGAAGGGCAGTTGAGCTGATTTCATACCTTGACTATGATGAATAATGCTGTAATGAACATGGTTGTGCTGGGGGCTTTCCTGTTTTCTCGTTTGTGATCTTTTGGATCTACCCAGGAATGACATTGCAGTGGGTGAGATGGGGCCAAGGGGAGAGCTATAGACAAATGAAGAGGAGAAGGGGAGTGATAATACAGCCAATTTTATATTTCCTACAAAATTAAGAAAAGTAAGGAAAGGGATGGTTGGGAGGGATAGGTGTGAATGTTGAAAGGGATTGATCAAGACATTGATCAAGACATTGATCAAGAAACATTGCATTCATAATTGCTTTGTTAAATGACAACTCCTTTGTAAAACCACTTAAAGTTAATAACAAAAAAAAGAAAATACAGATTTTACTAATAGGGGGTTAAACTCATGAAAAAATAAGTTAAGAAAGATTACAAGTAAACTGAAAATAGGATAATAGGCTTAAAATTTCTGAGAGACTATGTATGGCAAGGACACTGAAATCAGATTTGTGATTTGAATGGCAGAATATAGAGGGAGAATACAGTTATATAAAGGAAAAGAGTAAAAAATTATTATAAGTGTAAAGGAAAAACACAATATTAGCTGGGCACCAATGGCTTATACCTGTAATCCTAGCTACTCACAAAGCTGAGATCCAAGGATGTGGTTTGAAGCAAGCCTGGGCAGAAAAGTCCCTAAGACTCTTTATATCTAATAAACTACTCAGAAAAAGCTGGAAGTAGTGCTGTGGCTCAAATGGTAAAACACTAGCTTGAGCACAAAGAGGCTCAGGGATGACACCCAGTCCCTGAGTTCAAACCCCAGGACCAGCCAAAAAACAAAGAAAAAACTCCATAAAAAATGTAACCTAAAAGAAGAGCAAAAGTCTTTCACCAAGAAAAAAAAATCTCAAGTTTTTCTTTAAAAGAGGTGAGAATTACATTAATATTAATAATTAAGAAATTTTTTGTATTTATTGCTATTGTGGAAAGGAGCTAAAGAAGTAAGATCTAGAGAAGAAAGTTGGAGGTTTAGAGAAATATGATTAACCATGGCATGGGTGGGTAAGTTAGATTTAAAGCAAAGTTAGTAGTCTGTTCCTGCTGTGAAAGAGAGTTGCTGAAGAGTCTATAAAAGACTTCCTTCTTGGCCTTCAACACTAGACTTGTGGCCACTCTTCATGAATGAAGTAATTGGAAGGAAAACTGGATGAAGAGTGGAAATAATTAAGACAGTTGGAACCAGTCTGAACTGTGGATATAGTGAATATATTAGCTAGAATCTATCAGAACGTCTATATTTATCTTCCATTTCCTATAATCATAATTTTTAGAAGATTATAGTTGTTATCTTGTTTCTTTTTTTTTTTTTTTGTTGGTCGTGGGGCTTGAACTCTGGGCTTGGGCACTATCCCTCAGCTCTTCAGCTCAAGGCGAATGCTCTACCGCTTGAGCTACAAGGTCATTCCGGTTTTCTAGTGGTTTATTGGAGATAAGAGTCTCATGGACTTTCCTGCACAGGATGGCTTTGAACCGTAATCCTCAGATCTCAGCCTCCTAAATAGCTAGGATTACAGGCATGAGCCACCGGTGCCTGGCTATTTTGTTTCTTTTTAATTTTTATTCTAATTTTTTTTTTTTGGGTCTGGTCGTGGGGCCTGAACTCTGGGCCTGGGCGCTGTCCCTGAGCTCTTCAGCTCAAGGCTAGCACTCTACCACTTGAGCCACAGCCACACTTCCAGCTTTTTTCTTTTTTGCTTATGTGGTGCTGAGGAATTGAACCCAGGGCCTCAGGCATGCAAGGCAAGCGCTCCCACTGAGCCATCTTCCCAGCCTCTTTTATTCTAATTTTTATTTTGGCCAGCTGTGACTTGGAACTCTAAAACCAACCATATTAGAAGAGTGTATATTGTGAAACATTCTAGTTTAGCAAAATTTGTGTAGTATCACCATTGCAGTCTCTTTACCAATTTTTCATCTATACCTTTTAAAACCATTTAATTTCCAGATAAATAATAGGAAAATTATGTTTCTGATTAACATGAAGTATCTATTCCTTATTCAATTGATGACATAAAAACTCTTTTCAAAGAGCATCAGTGGATAACCCTCTATCCATTTGTTGATGTTCATTTTTCTTTTAACTGAGTCATGCTTCCCTTTGAATTTCTTATAACTTAAAAACTGAGTTACATTGTCATTAAAAATATTTTTACACATGATCTTACAATGTAGCCCATGTTGATCTTGAATTTATGATACTCCTGCCTTGTACTTCTCAGTGCTAGGATTATAGGTATGCTACCATAACCAGCTGTTAACTATTATCAAGATATCTTAATATTCAATAAAAACTAAAATAAAATTAAAGAATATTTGGGTATATATATATATATATTTATATATATATATATATAACAGGAGAAATTCTTATATCTATCTATCTATCTATCCATATATATATATATATAACAGGAGAAATTCTTATATCTATTTAGTCATTTTCCTCTTAACCACATGGTCATACATTATGTTTATAACTTGCTTATTTCATTACATATACTATATTTATTCACTCTGAGCAAAGATTTTTGGTTGGATATGGGTCTATCCTTGGTGAGGTACTTTAAACTTTTATGCCAAAAGAATTTTTACCATTAAATACACTCCTTATGTTGAGTTGAAATTATTTATTAATGATTTTTTATTATGATGCAAAAACAGAATATAACAATCAATTTAACCATTTTAAGTCTACAACTCAGTAGTATTAAGTATATTCACATTATTGTGACCCATATCTCTTTTTTTTTTTTTTT